AAGGGACATTGTGTCTCCATACATAGGTACAAAGCCTCCTAGCAGGTCTGTTGGAGCTGTACAAATCCACACCATGCCCTACCCAGGACACATTATATTTGTCTGCTATGTTTCTTATACTGTGCTGTTCCCTATAGTATGAGTATAGTATCTTTTTCCTCAGTGCAATTGCAATTGCAAAAGTAACTGACATTGTCTTTTCATGTTGTTGTGCCTGATCCTGCAGTCTGATGTAGATGAAACTCCTATGAAAGTCCTTGAGAATTTTTCTGGACTAGGTCTAGTGAGATCTATTTTCCACTAATCCTTTTCTTACCCTGCTCTTTCCGTACTAGTTGGCTTTCTGAAGAGCTTTGCTTTACAAAATTAGTTTATCCCTAGCCATTGTTCACTGATCTCTTCAAGGGTCTATTTGCTTGGGAGGTTGTCCACAACTTCCTGCTTAATGTTCTTCAGAGAGGAGCTGAGATGGCTGGAGCCACTATAGTGGATTTTAAGACTAATTCTCTAGTTTAACTTTCTCCTCCTACTATTACATTCAACAGGCTCTTCCTAATGATGATTATTACCCCACATCCTCTTTGGGGATAAATCATGAACCCTACTGACAAATAATGGATCAGCTTCTATATGTCAAGTGCTGACATTAATGGCTGGCTGAATTCCCATGAGCAAGTACAGACCATGATATGCTAATAACTATATCTAAATTTTATCAGATATTCCTCAAAAGTAAAATACTAATGTTCTAACTCCTAGGGTATGTCTTCACTGCACAGTTAATGTGGGCTTTTACCTGGGTTTTAGCCCAAACACCCCAACTTCCACTCAGGAAAAACTCTGACCCAGGCTTGGATGTGCTTTAAGCCCTGAATAGCTTATGCTGTTTGACAATGGATTAGAACCCAGGCTCTGGTTTAACTTAGCTCACTTTGCAGTGAGGGCATAAGCAAAATCATTGGAGTGATGATAGTCCTCCAACACCCTTCCCACAATTCCCCTGAAGGATAGACAAGTTCTTCCACAGTCAACTGGGAAAGAACCCTGGAGTGTTTCAGCACAAAGAGCCCAGGGATATGCTCCCAGACACACACAGGGGATTTCCTTGACTGAAGTCCAAAGCATATATTATAAGAGCCCCAGGTAAATCGTCTACACTGGCAAGTTTCTGTACCACAAACGTACCACAAATGCTGGAATTAAACTGCTATTGCGTGTCCACACTGTGCTCCTTGTGACTCTGGAGCACATCCATTTTAGCAGCCCTTGCAACAGCAAAGACCAGTGCATTGTGGTAGCTATCCCACTATGCAGCTAGCTGCAGGGTGTTTTGGAAAGGGTTTTCAATGCCTCATGGGGCAGGCACAGCAGGTCTCCCAATCCCATTGTTCCATGGGCATCCTACTACATTGCCAGCTGCTTTTCAACTGAAGGCAGGTTGGTGGTGACAGGGAGTGTGTGTGTGTGTGTGTGGATGGGGGGATAGAGGCAGTGTGTTTTGGGGGACAGAGAGTGTGTCAGCATGCTGTCTTATAAGTTCAGACAGCAGCAGGAAGCAACCAGTGCTGAGGCAGGGGGAGTGGGAAACCCTGACATCAGCCCCTGCCTCCCTCCCTGGGCTCTCTGCACAGCAATCTCTCTCTCTCTCCCTCTCTCTCTCTCTCTCTCTCTCACACACACACACACACAAGCCTCTGTGTTCAACAGCACAAGCATTCCACATTAATGGCTTGCTGTGTGTCCCAGAGTAGATCAGCACAGCACACAAGGGATGTCAGAAATGGTGCTTTGAAAGGGGAGGGGCGAATGTCTCCAGGGCACCCGAGTTCAAAACAATGAGCAGAGCGGGCACTGGAGGCATTGTGGGACAGCTCCAGAGGCCAATTACAGCACAGAAAGCAATCCAGTGTCTATATGGGCAATAGATGGAGCCTCTGCACAAATAGCTTTACGACTCTCGTCGAGGTGGGTTTTTTTGCAGCGCTGCAACTGAGGAGTTTCTGCGCACAAAATGGCTTGGCCGTGTGTACATGTCTGCAGTTTGAGCGCAAAAAGTTGCTTTCCTGAGCAGAAACTTGCCAGTGTAGACAAGCCCTTAATAAAGAGGCCTAATTTCTTCTCAGTTTTGTAATTTGGAGTCAACAAATATGTTACCCAAACTTCACTGGAAACTGATTCCTGATAAGGTTTCTGCAGGATTGTGGTTTAAATTGCAAAGTTTCTCAGTTTACTTGTGCTGTCCTCAAGTCCTAAATTTGGGGTTATTTTGTATCTTCTTTATCAGCCCGTTCACCACATCAGTGGCTGTTCCAGGGCAGGTACTGCCAGTCTGTCTCTTGATATTGCCAAGTACTGTCCACTCCCTGTGCTTCCGGCTCAGCACCTGCTGCTGGTCTGGAGTTGCAGACTGAGCTAAGCTACCAAGCCAGTTCCTTTCAAGTTCTATCTCTCCAGCAGGTTCTTTCATACATTTGCTATTCTTTTCTACTAATAGTTCACCCCCATTTTCTGCATGCTCCAGCTTTCTGCTGGTCCCTCCCATAAAACAAAGGAAGTTCCAGAAAAAAACAAAGGAAGTTCCAGAAAAGCTCTCTCTGAGTGCAAGTGGACTGGGGGACTGGTAAACAACAACTGAGGTCACAAACTTCTAAAATGTACCAACTGAGGAATTGCTTCATCAGGATGTTAACTATGAGTGACAGCTACTGTTATTGAATAAAGAAACATTGCAACCATTCCCCAGCTAATATGTTCTGTTCCCATTTTAAATACATGGTGCCAAAGAACATAATTCTAGAATACACATAGCCATTGCTTCAGCAGTCAGAGAATAGCTGGCCCTACCTGAAATCCTGAAAATGTTATCAAAGCTTTGATATATCGTAAATGTACTTATCTGTCACCTCAAGCCTGGGCTAAGATAAGAAGGAGAATCAATTACTTTACAAGTCATTGACCTTCTGCTCTGTGCTTTGATCTGGAGTCCACATCACCTCGTTAGTAACCACTGAATTACCACTGCTTTACACAAGCAGAATCCCCTGGAATTGGGATCACTAGTGAAGGGCCTCCCCTCTCTCTCTCTCTCTCTCTCTCTCTCTCTCTCTCGTGCGCACATGCACGCACACACACACACACACACAAAACCTACATTAAAAACTATTATTAAGGCTGCAAAGTCAAGGCCTCAGAAGTCAGATGATGCCAGAACTAAGGTTGCCCATGTAACCTTAATTCAGCCCCAATGTGAGCATGAATTATGCCACAGTTTTTAATTATGTGATTGCTTATTATTTTTACACTCATTCCTCGTCCTCATTCAGTCTCAGTTACTGTCCCTTCTCTGGTCCCTTGCCCCAGTCTCTTTGTCCAGCCAATCCCAGTTCTCCCCTAATCCCAGATCCTTGTCTCCTCTTCCCACTGCCCATTCTCCAGTGGTTCTTAGCCCCTATCTCCCCCTCCCACCAGTTCCTCATCCAATCTCATTGCCCCTCTCCTAGCCAACTGGCTTCCAGTCCTGCCATTTTTCTCACAGATTCCTAGTCTTGATTTTGGGCTCCCAGTTCCAGCCTCCTTGTCCTTCCTATATTTAAGTGATTTTTAATGAGCTAGAACAGTGGTTCTCAAACTTCATTGCACTACAACCCCCTTTAATACAAGACCCTTGTAGGGGGGACCGAAGCCTGAGCCTGCCTGAGCCCTGCTTCCTAGGACAGGGCCCAAGGACTTCAGTCCCAGGCAGGGGCCTGTAACCTGAGCTCTGCTAGCCAGAGCTGAAGCCCTCGGGCTTTGGCCGCAGGCCCTGGGGTTTGGGCTGAAGCTTTAGCAAGTCTAACGCCAACCTTAGCACCCCCATTAAAACAGAGTCATGACCCAATTTGGGGGCCCAACCCACACACAGTTTACGAACTGCTGAGCTAGACAAAACTTTGTATTCTTTGTCCTCATTTGTCCACACATCTGGGCAGAGTTTCATTCATAGGCATTGGCTGACTCCTTAACTCCTTCATAGAGCAATAGACATTGTCTGATTGGCGTCTCATACTGGCACTCTTTCATTATACATTTAGCCCCGCTCTCCAGCCTTCCATCTTTGCTTGCTGTCTTCCACTTCCTCTATACCTTTGTTGCCCCTAGCCTCCATTTGAGGGAGGGAACGTTATTGTCCCTCTGTGGCCCTGCAGCAATTTGACTATGTGAGGAGCCACTGAGCACTTCTGAAAATCCCACCCAGGTGAGCAGTTAGGACCTTTCACATGCCTGTCCACGAGCACACAATCCTTTTAGAAAATGAGTCTCCAGAGAGTTATTTTAAAATAAACACGTGGGCAATGCAAACTACCAAACTGACCATAGAAAACCATTGGAAAATTCTGACACTGGTGTAAAGGACACCAGTAATCCTAGTTCTAATCACACTAGCCATAGATTTGCTCTCAGGTCTAATGTGAACAAGGTCCCAGGCAGGAAATGCGTGAGCAGCAAAATCTGTGGAGGGGAGAAAAAAAATCACTTGTGAAAAGGAGTAAAAAAGGCCCAGACTGGGAGTTAGGCACCTAAATATCTTTGAGGATCTGGGCCAAAATGACCCATCTTACATTTATTGTCTCCTCTACCGTATGAGAATGGGGGATATATTAAAAAAGGAGAAGGATGCAGTTTATAGTGCAACTCGGAAATTTGTCCCCAATCCGTCAGAGGCTTTCCAGTCAGACACACAAAGAAAGCTGTGTGCGTGGATTCCAGGGTACAATTTCCCCACTCCAGCATGGCTGTCTCCCATGACGTGCTGTCACTGAATTCCTCATCTAGGGAGCACATTCTGATCTCTCTGCTGGGAGTTTATGATCATCTGAACCCCAATAACGCATTCAGCTTTTAGGCCCTGGCCCAGGAAAGCATATTGTGAAGAGTGGTCACTTCTGGGCAAAAACACTTCAGTGGTGGTGGAGCTCCAATCACATACTGTTTGCATAGGGAGGCTTCTGCAGGCAAGGGGGCCAGCAAGAAACCCTGTTCCTTCTGCCCTCTGCCGTCCCTGGCTTGTAGCTCGAATCTGCACTGCATGGGTGAAAGGTGGGCAAAATGTCCCAGAAAAACAAGCTTCATCATTGTTTGCTCTGCATCCTCTCTCCTAATTTTTATTTGATCTGATTAATGATTAATGGAGAACACTGCTGTTCAGCAATAATTAATAGAGCAAGGAGCAGTCCAGATCAGATGGACCCAGTAGGATCCTTTGCAATGTACTGTGAGTACTGTCTTACTTTTTCCTTGGATCCCTTTGATTTCTGATTATCTGTATTATATGCACTTTAGTTTATGGAATTATTTAGTTTCCATGGGGGTGACTTTGTAACAGGTAAAGAGAACACCCTGTTCTGTTTTAAAAAAAAAACAAAAATGCACAAAACACTCAAGGGGCCAGTATAAATTCCTCAAGGGGTGGAGGAGGGAGCTAGGACAAAGCAACTGCAGTTTATATTTTAAATGATGGGAAACTATCAACATTTTGACTAAAATGGCAGAAAAACATACTAGGAAGCCATGTAGACCTCTGCAGAGAGATTATTGCCAGAGATCCATTAATGACCCTTCCATTGTATTTGCCTTTTCGGAAACTGTACCAAAAATAGGTTTCAGAGTAGCAGCCGTGTTAGTCTGTCTTCGCAAAAAGAAAAGGAGTACTTGTGGCACCTTAGAGACTAACCAATTTATCTGAGCATAAGCTTTCGTGAGCTACAGCTCACTTCATCGGATGTCATTGGCAGTAGAAACCCAAGCATGAATTCTGTAGGGAACACTGCACCTTGTGTTTTATAGCATATTTTTATTGAATTAGCAGTTTATAATGACTTGGTAAACTGTGGAAGGCAAATATAGCAGCAACAGCAATCCTGAAGTGTAGATTATAAAAGTAAATTCTGTTTGTAATCCAAGTTTTACTGGGAAAAGGTGTTCTGAAAGTTTTCAGTCTTTTGCAAGTTTATATGAACCTTAATACGATCTAAGCTATCTCATTTGAGAGAGCATGTGATCTCATAACAAATTTATCAGGAAGCATATATTTCTTCTGAGAGTTATTGGCATCTGAAATGTGAAATCTTGAAAGTGAGCCTTTTACATTTTTGAGAAAGGAATCTGTTTCTAGATCCATGCCCTGCTGTCATTAGTTCTGGCTCTTTGTGACAGATTAAAAAGGCCATATACAAACATTTGTGTCTTGGAAAGGTGAGTTCTATGAACTGGCCTGGAATGTGATATCAGTGGGACAAATTCATCCATAGTGTAGCTCCAGTGGATTCCATGACAGGTGTTAATCACTGAATAGTAAGCAACAGATCTCATAGTACACAGGAAAAAAGGAATACTTTTCTTAACTAACTTCTGTAAATCTAAATATTTTACAGAATAAATCCAAAGGAAAATGAAGCCCACCCTCTCTGTGTGTTTGTTACTGACTGGACTTCAAGCAGTCAGTCATTGTCATCGCCAGCCTGATCACCGCAATGACTGGGATGGTCATAAAGATGCATCCACCAGGGAACACAATTGCCCTGTTGAAGAAGTTTATCCATGTGAAAGCAAGGCCTACTTCAAACTGGCCCCCAGCAATATTGACTTCGCATTTAGATTTTACAAGCAAGTTATATCAGAGGCAGCTGACAAAAATATTTTCTTCTCTCCCATAAGCATCTCTACTGCCTTTGCAATGCTGGCACTTGGGGCTAAATCAGCTACTCTGAATCAGATTCACAAAGGACTCACCTTTGACCTGAACAAGACTCAGGAAAAGGAGATACATGAAGGCTTTTGCCACCTCATTTGTGCACTAAACCGTCCAGACAGGGAGATCCAGCTGAATATGGGAAATGCCCTTTTCCTAAGAGAGACACTGAAACCACTAAAAAAGTTTTTAGAAGATGTTAAAAACTTTTATAAATCAGAAGTTTTTTCTAGTGACTTTAACAATTCTACCAATGCTGTGAAACAGATCAATAATTACATTGAGAAGAAAAGCCACGGGAAAATTGTTGATTTAGTCCAGGATCTTGATCCACTCACTGTAATGATTCTCATTAACTACGTTTTCTTTAAAGGTAAGAGCTGTTATAACGTGGGCGTTTACTGCAACCATGAGCTATGGAAGGTTGACTAAAATCTAGGACAATAAAATTTCAATTTATATTTTAAATGAAGGGACCCTGTCATCATTGCTGGGCCTGTTAATTGCTCTATCTGGAAAATACTCCAATCTGGAAAGTCATTCTATAAGATTGCAAATGTGTTTTTTTCCTCACATAAGAGTGGAAGAAACTGATTTTGAAGCAAATACCTACAATTCTATGCAACATATATTAATCTGATGGATATATACAGGCTCAGTTTAGACATGATGTTCATAACTCTATCAGTTAATAGTGGCCTTTAATCATCTAAGAGAATAGCACTAAAGCCTAGCTTCATAAAATCGAGAGGTGTATCAACTTATAAAACAAATTTGCTGTAAATAAAGGTGCAGGATCAGATCCTGTGGGCTTAGTGCACTTGAATTAGTCTGATTCATACTAATATTTCCTTTTTGCAGTATATTCAATTGCATTCTCTTTCTTTTTTGCCATAAGCCGATTGGGAAAAGCCCTTTAATTATTTTTACACAAAAGAAGAGGATTTTTTTGTGGATGGGGAAACCTCTGTTAAAGTTAATATGATGTACCGCAAGGGCAGTTACAAACATCACTATGATAAGGAGCTGTCTTGCTGGCTGGTGCAAATACCTTACAGCGGAAAGGCTGTCGCATTGTTTATTCTGCCTGATGAAGGAAAAATGAAGGAGGTGGAAAAAGCTCTCATGAATAAAACTTTGTCTAAATGGAAAAAGGCCTTCAAAGAAAGGTAATCTTTTAGCTACAGCTACATTAAGAAATGTTTTACTGCAACAAAGGAGGGCAACAAAAATGATTAGGGTTGGAGCACATGGCTTATGAGGAGAGGCTGAGGGAACTGGGATTGTTTAGTCTGCAGAAGAGAAGAATGAGGGGGGATTTGATAGCTACTTTCAACTACCTGAAAGGGGGTTCCAAAGAGAATGGAGCTAGACTGTTCTCAGTGGTACTAGATGATAGAACAAGGACTAATGGTCTCAAGTTGCTGTGGGAGAGGTTTAGGCTGGATATTAGGAAAAACTTTTTTACTAGGAGGGTGGTGAAGCACTGGAATGGGTTACCTAGGGCGGTGGTGGAATCTCCTTCCTTAGAGGTTTTTGTTAAGGTCAGGCTTGACTGGCTGGGATGATTTAGTTGGGGATTGGTCCTGCTTTGAGCAAGGGGTTGGACTAGATGACCTCCCGAGGTCCCTTCCAACCCTGATATTCTATGATTCTATGAAATTAGGACAGAATCTCACATGAAAACAAACTATTAAGAGCAGATAGTTCAGCTGAAATCTGCAGACAGAGGGCCCCTTAAAGAACAGGCTTCCCTTTCCTTTCATGAAAAGGGGCAGATGGGAAGGATGATTTAGTGGATAGGACCTTGAACTATGACTCAGGAGACCTGCGTTCAGTTCCTGGCTCATCCACAGATTTCCTTGGGCAGGTCACTTTATCTGATGTTTGCCCATGTTCCCCATCTGTAAAATGAAGATAATACTTCCCTCCCTCACAGGGGAACGGTGAAAAAAACATTTATTCATTAATTGTGAGGCACTCAGGTAGTGTAGTGATGAGGGCCATACACAGTCTGTTGCTTCTGTGGCAGGATCAGGGTCTGCATGGGGACTAGGTGAGTTCTCACCAGGTGAGAAGTAGAATACTATGCTCTCCCAATGATCCTGTGATGATTATATAGAAAACGTACTAGAGCATGGGGGTTCTGTGATGGGCAGGGTATGGAACCTTAGTCCAAACTTACCCTCCAGGGCAGTGGTTCTCAACTGTGGTCCATCGCTTGTTCAGGGAAAGCCCCTGGTGGACCAGGCCGGCTTGTTTACCTGCCACATCCACAGGTTTGGCTGATCGCGGCTCCCACTGGCTGCGGTTCGTCGCTCCAGGCCAATGGGGGCTGCAGGAAGCGGCGTGGGCCGAGGGATGTGCTGGCCGCCCTTCCCGCAGCCCACATTGGCCTGGAGTGGCGAACCACGGCCAGTGGGAGCCGCAGTTGGCTGAACCTGCGGACACGGCAGGTAAACAAACCGGCCCGGCGCACCAGGGGCTTTCCTTGAACAAGCGGTGGACCACAGTTGAGAACCACTGTTCTAGGAGTATGTCTACACTGCAATAAAAACCCGTGGCATGGAGTCTCACATCCTGTGTCAGTGACTTAGGTTCGTGGGACTCAGGCAGAGCTGGAGTGTGGACTGTGACTGGACTGTGTGTGGACTGTGGCTGCAGTCCAGACTCTGAGACCCAACACCTTGCAGAGTCTCAGAGCTGACATATCAGCCTGAGGGTCTACCTGGGCCAGCTGCAGCCATGCTGTGGATCTTTTATTGCAGTGTAGACATACACTTAGGTTCCTCCCGTGTGTTTTACTTGGGGGGAAAGGTGACCCAGGTCTAAGTTACACACACCAAGTTGTCACTCTCTGTACTGACTGCAGAGGCAGTGTGGTCCAGTGGGAAGGCACTGAGCAGGGAGTCAAATGACTGGGGTCCTTTTCTGGGCTTCGCTACTCATCTGCTGTGTGACCATCTCTCTGTGCCCCAAGCCAGGTCTACACTTAAAACTTAGGTCGACATAGCTTTGGTGCTGAGGGGTATGAAAAATCCACAAAGTGCTGTAGCTATGCCAACCTAACCCTCTGTGTGGACACAGCTAGGTCAATGGAAAAATCCTCCATCAACCTAGCTACCATCACTTGATGCGGTGGAGTTCCTACAGTGATTGACAAAGTCCTTCTGCCTCTGTAGGCTGAGTCTAACTATTGGGTTATAGAGCCATAGCTACAGTACCACAGCTAGGCTGCTGTAGCACCCATAGTGTAGACATGGCCTCAGTTTCTCCATTTGTAAAATGGGGCTAATGATACTGATACTGAGAGACTTACCAATGAATTCCCTGATAGTGGGGAGTATGCATCTGGCACGGGCACCTTTGCCACCACACCTTGCCACAGGTTTCCTTATGTCCCCGGACAGGGGACTTGTTGAGACTTGTATGTGGCATGGCCAGAATACTACTCCACTCTGGCAATTGCCAGGTGGCAGATGGCCTATTGGAGCACCTTAACCTGCTGCCCGAAATTAGAATACTACCAAGGCTTCTCTAATCTACACTAGGCCCAGGGCCATCATAAAATAGCTCCAGAATGAGTGAACTACAGTGGAATCTTGCATAAAGTGGTATAGTTGAGAATATAGGCCTTGGACAAGGAACTCTCTTCCATAGATACTCAGTCCTTCCTCAAACACACTGTTCAAACCTGCTGGTCAAATACAGCACGCAGACTCTTTAACAGTTTGAGAGGAAAATACAAGTGCCACCAACTTGACCCTATTCTGTAGTGGTCTCTGAATGAGACGATTTGCCAGAAATTTTCTGTATTTCTTTTTTAACAGAACAATATATCTGCACATTCCAAAATTTTCTATTTCTGGTACCTATGACATAAAAGAGATATTCCAGAAAATGGGTGTGATCGATGTGTTCACTGACCAAGCTGATCTGTCTGGGATCACTGAAAAGTCTGAACTAAAGGTTTCAAAAGTAAGTTTGTAAACAAAGATGGTAACAAATGGATTTGTCTGTTCCTACAAATGTTACATTTATGTTTTATAACATTGAAGGGTTTGATCCTGCTCTCATTGAACTCATTGGCAAAACTCACTCCAACACCAGTGGGTACAAAGAAAAGGGGACAAAGAGAGTCTGTCTCTGCTAAAATTGAGAATTAACATGCTTAGAAGGGATTACACATGTGTACAGAGGCTGGAGGACATCAGGAAAAGACAAGTACAAAATAAAATAATATTTTGGCCATTATATAGAATTATTAAAAGGTAACAAATTGGACTTGGCAAAATATTCTCTAACTCTCATTAGAGATAGGCTTGGAAGTAGAGTCCTACGCGGATACAAATTTATATCCGCAGATGCAGATATCTGTGGATATAAATCTCTATCCGCGGAATCACAGAGCTCTCCCAGGAACTGCAGCAGCCAAAGGAGCAGAACGTGGGACTGCCGCTCCCAGGAGCCAGGGCCCCACACTAGCAGCTCCTCCGGCGTGGCTGTACTGCCTGCAGCCCTGCCCCCATCTCTTCCACACAGCTGTCTGCATCTCCTGTCTGGGGGCGGGCATGCTGCTTGAACACAAGAGTGCGACCAGGGACAGCTGCCGGTGAGCCTGGTGCCCACTCGCAGTGGCCGCGACTGGGGGTAGTACAGCCGACCCAGAGGAGCTGCCAGCGCTAGGCGCTAGCTCCTGGGAGCAGCAGCCCCACGTTCTGCTCCTTTCGCCGCTGCAGTTCCCGGGAGAGTCCTGCAGTTCTGTGGATATCGATTTATATCCATGAATATCTGCATCCATGGATATCAGTTGGTACCCGCACATGGCTCTACTTGGAAGGACTACATTTTTATCAATAAATGTCGATTTAACCATAGTCACACAAACCAATGAAAAAAAAATTTCCATCAATGATAATCTAAATTAACGGCTAGGCAGAGTAAGAAAAAATGTTCCTTGAGAATGTATAAGAGAATGATTTAAGGATATTTACTTTGTATGTTTGGACATGTGATGTTGACGATTTGTGTTTCAGTGGTTGTAAAGGGATAACACTTTGAATCTCAACATTTACTGTCACTAAATAATTATTATCGGCCCCCCGCCCATAATTTCCTGCAACTGTGAAAATGTAAATGAATAAAAAGAAAAAAGCATAGAAACTTGTAATTTTGCACAACTATGAAAATGTAAATAAATCAATATAGAAAAATGCTTAAAAATAAACATTGATATTATCCATCAACATTATTTTTAAAAAATCTCGTATTCTGCCAACCATCAACATAATGCCTCACCAACATCTTTGAATTCTTTGGTGGGGGGCTCAACACACATGTACACAAGGGTGATCCAGTGGGTATAGTGTGCTTTGACTTTCAGGAAGCCTTTAACAAGGTCCATCACAAAAGGCTCTTTAGCAAAGTAAGTAGTCATGGGATAAAAGGAAAGATCCTCTCATGGATCAGTAACCAGTTAAAAGGGAAAAAAAAGAGTAAGAATAAATCATCCGTTTTCAGAATGGAGGGAGGTCCCAAGAATCTGGACTGGAACCAGTGATGTCCAACATCTTCATAAATGATCTGGAAAAAGGGGTAAACAGAAGGAGTTTTTCTGCCAGCATACTAACACCGCCTCAATGTTAGCTAAGCCAACAGAAGCACTTTTATCAGCTTAGCTACCTCTACACTGGCATTGCTATATCTGCTAGGAGGTGTGGGTTTTTCACATGTGCGGCCAACCTACCTATTCCAGCAACACACTTTGCAGTGTAGACTTGGCCTTACCCTAGCTGATTCTTAACAGTTGATTTTCTAAAGAACGGTGTTTTAAAAGTAAACAAGTTTATCTCTTGCTATTATTCAGGGCTCAATAGCCAATGTAATGTTTTGCTTCATTTCCTTGCAGGTCATTCACAAGGCTGTATTGAATGTTCATGAGAACGGCACTGAGGCTGCAGGAGTCACTGTCGTGGAAATTTCATGGAGGGCTGGTCAAATTTCTGCTCCTCCTCGAATTAAATTCAACAGGCCCTTCTTGCTGATGATTTTTGATAGGCATACCCGCAGCATCCTCTTCTTGGGGAAAATCATAAACCCTAGTGGAAAATAAGTGATCAGCTGCTGATCATGTGTGCAGTGCTTCCACGTAGTGCTGGCAAAATTCAGGTGATTCAGCAAAGGACATGCACAGTGCTAGGGACTGTATTTAGACCATTATTCACGTACATTCCTAAACCCACAAAACATGAATGTAGCATTTCCTTGCCTATAAACAGCTGATATTTCTTCCTTGCTGTGTACAACTTACATCATAACAAATCACCAATAATCTAAATAAATCTGATTTCCTTTCCCCTGTTTTGTAAGTAGTCCTTACTGAAAGGCTCCTGTGCGGTCTTTAAGATACAAAGGGCTTGGCTACAAAAACAATTAGCCCACCACGAGCTGGGGTGTGAATCTACCCTGCACTAGCCTGCTGTGGACTTACTGTCAGTTTGCACCCTGCTGACATGCATTAACAGTTTGTTAATGTGCTTTGAGCTCCTTCCAAAGGGAGCTAGATCAGAATGCTCTAATGAAGTGACACACGTGAGCAGGGTATACATGGACAGTTAGACCACAGCAAGGTAGGGCAGGATAGATTAGCAATCCCAGTTTGCCATGGTCTAATTGTTCGTGTAGACAAGACTAAAGTCTCTCAGATGAGTTGTTTTAACAACAGACTTGTTTTATCAACGTGATTAACTGACTGGTGATGATTGTTCCCAGCATCCTGTTCTTTGATACGGCAAGGAATTCCTGGTCTGGTCTCTTCTACTGTGGGTCCAGGTGCTGGTCTGAAGTTGCAGATTCAGCTACTGGGTTAATTTTCTTTTGGGGTTTGTCTACACAGGGAAAAAGCCTGCAGTAGCTGGTGTACACTAGGTAATGCACACTAGGCACTCTGCACTAATTCCCTGTGTATAGACTCTTACTGTGGACCAAGATCAGGTCTACACTACAGACCTATGTCATTTGTAACTACATCGCTCAGGGGTGTGAAAAATCCATGCCCCTGAGCGACGTAGTTATACTGACCTAGCTCCCTATGTAGATAGCACTATGTTGGTGAAAGAGCTTCTCCTGTTGACATAGCAACTGCCTCTCGGGGAGGTGGATTAGCTACGCCAACAGGAGAGCTCTGTCCTGTCAGCCTAGGAGCTTTTTCACTTAAGTGCTGCAGCAGCTCAGCTGCGTTGATACAGCATTTTAAGTGTAGACCTGCCCTAAGCATTCCTTTGTGGGCATTAGCTTAATGCCCTTTGGAAGCGTTCTAAGCTAACTGAGGGCACTCAGTGCACTGGAGGAGTGTCATTCCACAGAGAGTTAGAGAGGAGAAGACCGTGCACTTTAAATTCACACCCTAGCTTACTGTGCACTAACTTCCTCATATAGCCAAGCCCCTGGTCTGCACAAGAAAGGGTTTGTCGGTATAGTAGCTATTACCGGCATTTCTGCATATGCAAACCTCCACCCACAGTGGAGACAGCGTATACAGGCAAAAGAGGTGGGGTTTTTTGGCCAGAATAGCTTATGCTACTTCCCCAAATGAAATAAACTGTAGCAGCAAAAAATTGCTGGTATAACTGTGTCCACACAAGGGCTTTTTGCTGGTATGTTATTAAATCTTATAAAAATTCACACCCTTAAAGGATATTATTATACCGCCAAAAATTTCCACTGTTGACCTGCCTTATTCTCTCCAAAAGTTCTCGTTTTGCCTACCAACAGTTCACCTCTGTCGTCACATATTCTAGCTATCTTGTTAGTCTTTCCTCTAAAACAGAGGAAGGTGGAGACAAATTATAACTCCACAACACCTGTTCTTGTGCAGCACACTGGGGCCATGGAACTTTCTTAGGGACTTCTAAACTACTTTTAAACTCACAGAAGTAACACAGACTCACATATAAAATGCAGATACTGTCTGAGGAACTGCCTTTCCAAATGTTAACTGCATTATTGCGACTGTTACTGACTAAAGAAACATTGGGACCTGAAATTTTGAGTCTGGAACCTGCCTGAGTCTAATTTTTTTGCTTTTGTGTTGTATCATTTTTCAGTAACTTTTAATCAATTAATGCCATTTTAAGATATTAGCAACATTAAAATTTTCAGTGTCAAAGTCTCTTTGAGGTTCTCATTATTCTAAAGCAATAAATTAATACTACTATTAATGAACTGTAGAGTCTGCTGATAAGGTGAGTCCAGAAATTTTGTACAGCAAACAAGGATCAAACATCGTCACTGAAAATTTTCTTTAAACTTTGAACAGATCAATATGGTCATAGATTAACACAATTTGTTGGGGAAGAGTCAACATGGCTTTTGAAAGGGAAGCCATACCTCACCAATCTATTAAAATTCTTTGAGGGGGTCAACAAACATGTGGACATGGGTGATCCAGTAGGTATATTGGACTTGAACTTTCAGAAAGCCTTTGACAAGGTCCTTCCGCAAAGGCTGTTAAGCAAAGTAAGTGGTCATGGAAGAAGAGGGAAGCCCCTCAGATGGACCAATAACTGATTAAAAGACAGGAAACAAAGGGTAGGAATAAATGGACAGTTTTAACACTGGAGAGAGGTAAATAGTGGTGCCCCCCAGGCATCTGTACTGGAACCTGTGCTGTTCAACATATTCATAAATGATCTGAAAAAGGGGTAAACAGTGAGGTGGCAAAATTTGCAGACGATACAAAATTACTCATGCTAGTTAAGCCCAAAGCTGACTGCGAGGAGATACAAATGGATCTCACGAAACTGGGTGACTGGGCAATAAAATGGCAGATGAAATTCAATGTTGATAAATGCAAAGTAATGCACATTGGAAAACATAATCCCAGCTATACATATAAAATGATGGGATCTAAATTAGCTGTTACTACTCAAGTAAATTTTTTGGAGTCATTGCAGATGGTTCTCTGAAAACACCCACTCAATGTGCAGCAGTAGTCAAAAAAGCTAACAGAATGTCAGGAACAATTAGGAAAGGGATAGATAATAAGACAGTAAATATCATAATTCCACTACATAAATCTATGGTACATCCACACCTGCAGGCAGTTCGGTTGCCCCCATCTCAAAAAAGCTATGAAAAGGTACAAGGAAGGGCAACAGAAATAATTAAGGGTGTGGAACATCTTTCATATGATGAGAGATTAAAAAGCCTGGGACTTTTCAGGTTGGAAAAGAAACGACTAAGGCGGGAATATGCTATAGGGCTATAAAATCATGGATGGTGTGGAGAAAGTGAATAAGGAAGTGTTCTCGACTCGCATAACACAAGAGCCAGGGGTCACCCAATGAAATTAATGGCAGCAAGTTTAAAACAAACAAAACAAAGTATTTCTTCACACAATACACAGTCAACCTGTGGGACTCTTTGCCAGAGGATGTTGTGAAGGCCAAGCCTATAACAGGGTTCAAAAAGGAACTAGATAAATTCATGGAGGATAGGTCCTTCAATGGCTATTAGCCAAGATGGTCAGTGATGCAACTTCATGCTCTGGGTGTCCCTAGCCTCTGACTGCCAGAAGCTGGGAGTGGACTTGCTTGAATGTATAGGAAGTAAGTTGTCATGGGAGACTTTGAATCCAAATTATTTGTGTTATGGGATTATTTCAGTCACGTCCGAGTTACCTTGTAGCAGCTATAGACAGCAACAGCACTTTTCTGTATACTGATTTTGGAATCTTGTTTTACATGCCAAAACCAAAATTAAGGCAATGATCAAGCTCTCAGATATGACAATGATATGATTGAGAGATATACAGATAGTTAAGCTCTCAGAAATCACCAGAAGTGGAATGTACAGCCTTATCTGTACAGAGCCTGCACCCCCAGCTGGATCCCTCACCCTCTCCCACACTCCAACTCCCTGAGCCAGCCCAGTGAAAATGAGCGAGTGAGGGTGGGGAGAGCGAGCGACAGGGGAGGGGGAGAGGGGGTGGAGAATGGAGTGAGCTGGGGTGGAGCCTCGGAGGAGGGGCAGGACAGGGGGTGGAGGAAGGGTGTTCAGTTTTGTGCGAGTATAAAGTTGGTGATCCTCTATGGCTGACAGGGGATGAGTCACTCAATGATTGCCAGTTTTGTGTATTCCCTCTGAAGCATCTGGCACTGGCCACTGTCAGAAGACAGGATACTGGGCTAGATGGACCATTGGTCTGACCCAGGATGATCGTTCTTATGCCATAACAACTGGAGCAGGGAGCTGGGCCCAGCCCTGCAGCACAACAACTGCTGTGGTGTGGGAGGCTTGTTCTCCAACCCATCCCCCACCACCTTTCCTCCGCACTGGGCCAGGATTAGGGTTGCAGCGCTGGGCCAGAGGTTACCGCTATGGATGGTCAATGCCCCTTCTGCCATTTAGTATGGTGCACCCATTGGCTCAGGAGGCTACATCTACCTTAATCTAGGGAGGGATTTGGGAAGGGGATGTCCCCACCACCTCTCATTGATGTACCTGGGCAAGTTCATCTTAAGCTGCTGCTCCCTGATCTATCCTCCGACTGTAATAGTTGGCTTACTTCCTTGCAGCCCCTTCACATGACCCTGCTGAATGCTCATGAGAATCGCACTAAGGCTGCAGCAGCCACTGCTATGGAAATAACATTAGAGGCTCGCCTCCTACCATTAAATTCAACAGACCCGGCCTGATGATTGTTGATCAAACCACCCACAGCCTTCTCCTCATGGGGAAGATCATGAACCCTGCTGAAAAACAATAATGCATCCATTGTTATACACGTTGCAGTGCTTCTACTAAGTGGTGTGTGAATTCCCATGATTCTGTGCATGTTCAGACCACTAGATACTAGTAATCATAACTGAACTGTAATTAACATGTCATCCTGGACAAATACAATATGAGTGTGACAATTTTTACCCCACAAACAGTTTGATATTTCTTCCCCTGTCAAAAAACAAATTGGAATAAGGAATCTGTTATTCCTGCTCCAAAAAGCTTTGTTGGCTTAGAAATTAGATTCGTGTCATGGAAAACTCAATTACCCAATCTCTGATAACCAAGGAAAAGGCCTGGTAAGGAAATGATATTTGACATACAGTGCACATTATCAAAATAACCAGTCCTACTACCAGAGTCCCCCTGGCCTGCACAAGAAAATCCCTTCCACTTGCAACACAGAAATAAACACAGTGCACCCCATGTCCTATAACTCACTCTCTAATGCAGCTTTACCATGAGATTATTAACAATATTGTTTTCCCACAGGGGGTATTTTTATTATCTATGTAAATGAGGAAATGGTTAGCACTGAAGAGGTGGGGTTATTTGGTTTATGTACTTTTTTGGCAAATTTCAGAGTAATAGCCGTGTTAGGCTGTATTCGCAAAAAGAAAAGGAGTACTTGTGGCACCTTAGAGACTAACCAATTTATTTGAGCATAAGCTTTTGTGAGCTACAGCTCACTTCATCGGATGAATACTGTGGAAAGTGTAGAAGATCTTTTTATATACACACAAAGCATGAAAAAGTACCTCCTCCCACCCCACTCTCCTGCTGGTAATAGCTTATCTAAAGTGATCACTCTCCTTACAATGTGTATGATATTATATTATGATATAATGTATGATAAGTTGGGCCATTGGCCCAACTTGATTATCATACACATTGTAAGGAGAGTGATCACTTTAGATAAGCTATTACCAGCAGGAGAGTGGGGTGGAAGGAGGTATTTTTTTCATGCTTTGTGTGTATATAATAAGATCTTCTAAACTTTCCACAGTATGCATCCGATGAAGTGAGCTGTAGCTCACGAAAGCTTATGCTCAAATAAATTGGTTAGTCTCTAAGGTGCCACAAGTACTCCTTGTCTTTTTTTGGCAAACATTCAGCAAATAATCTTGTGTATTCAGTATACAAGACAGCATCTCACTCATACCCTTTTATCACACTCAAGGTTAGAGCTGGTTAAAAATCCATTTCCTTAAGAAGCAAAATGTTTTGCATAAATATATGGAGTTTGGCATTTTCATCAAGATTTCTCAGGTTCAGGATGGAATTTCTAGTCACAGTATGATGAGAGCAGCACATCCCAACCAAGACCAGTGACTAGGGTACTTGCCTGGAATATGGGAGAGCCAAGTTTAAGTTCCTGTTCCAATCCATCTGTGGTAAGTACCCTGAGCTGGTGGCTATTCTAGGGTGTTTGCTTTTTGTGAAATTTTTTGAAATGTTTAATTTTTGTTCTGCATGGGAACGAAAACAAATGTAAAAACCTCAATATTTTTTTTTAAACACAGAATTATTGTTTTCTAGCCAGCCCTACTCAGGGGGCATTTCCTTATGCATTCCTGTATAGCTAAAACACTCTGGCAAGTTTTATATTGTCCATAAGGTAAACTGTGAGGATATTTAACTAACACATATGAGAGGCACATGCAAAGAAATCAGCCCAGGGGTGGCAGGTCTATGATGGCTTCAATTCACCCTTGTACCCTCGCAATTCTGGGATATTCAAGTGGTGGAACTACCTCCAGTGTACGGCCCTGGTGGCCTAAGTCACAGCACCCTAACCCCAGACTGCCTGGAATCGCTACACTGCTGAGTTCTCACCCCAACAGACTCCTCCAAACCTCAGCCCAGGCCTTGGCAATGCCCTCTATATGAGGCTTGAGAGGAAGTTCTTAGAAGGCAACTTTAAGGCTGTTTTCTGGTATGTCTGCACCAGAAGAATTCATCCCCATCCGGAAACAGGAGTTTAGAGCTCTGTTAAGCCATTCTGGCCCTTTTACCTAGTTTAAGGGAGTTGGAGCAATGCTGAGGATGTCATCCATTAAACATTAATCTCAGTGATGCCTTGAAGTGGCAGGAATAGAGCTGGTTTATCTCTTCCCCTTGCCAGCAGCACTTTGTAATTAAACAGACACATAAACACTCCAAAGAGGTATGCAGTGTAAATTGGTCAAACTTTCTGTGCTGTCACTCATACAGCAGAGAGTATGGTTTTACCCTTGCGCATTCGTATAAATACAAAATATGTTTGTCACCATTAACACCCATTGGAAGACACCTGATGAAAAGATACCAAGGGAAGACGAGTAAAGAAACATACTGATATGTCATTGTAGGGAAAGAAAGAAGTGAAAC